AGCAGGATGCAGCGCCTGCAATAAGGCATGCAAAACATGAGCATGCCCCTCCCCCCCGTGGTGATGTGCCAGCCTGGTCCGGTGAGAACCCGGCGTGCTCCGTCCCGGCTTTGTAGGGATGCGAGGTCAATGGTCCGACGACTTTGGCATGCGCGGCTATGAGTACACACACACACACACACACAGCGTTGTTGCGCGTGAAAATGTTCACGCAGAACATGGGTGACTTCCTCGAGAGCGGCCTCCTGGAGCCGGCGGCGGCGGCGCTGGTGAGGCGAGAGGTGCAGAGCCTGTGCCTCGAGCTGCGCCCGGAGGCGATCTCGCTGACGGACGCGTGGCAGTTCACTGACAAGTACCTCTCCTCCGCCCTCGGCAGAAGCGACGGGTACGTGTGGGTGTTGTATGTTGTGTGTCCAATGAGCATCGATCGTGATTAGCCGGCTGACCAATGAAAAAACGTCAATCTCAGTGAGGTTGAAAACCGGACATGCTTCTAGATGCCATGGTAATGATCTGTACGAGAGCTTGATTTTTATTTTCATCTCTGACAAAGGAAAAGACGTCAGTCTCAGTAGGTCTGAAAGCAGAACATGCTTCCATAGGCCATGATCGACCATGATTTTCATGTCCTTGATTTTTCATTGTTTTCTTTTCTCTCTTCTCGAAGTGTTCGGGCCCTTTTTAAGGGGAGCTCCTTCTTTGTTGCTCTTTTGTCCCCACCTGATCTGTTTTCGCGCCCCCCTCCCACCCCTCATGCTTCCTGTTTTCGTTCTGCTTCACCAGCCGGACAGGAGGCTGGTGTTGTTGTCGGTGGTGATGGCGTGCCTTTGTTGCCGCTGGTAACGAGGTACTAGGGTACATCGACAGCTTATAGGTTTCGCGCCCGAAACACTCGACGCTATTGGAGCTGTCGCAGTGCCTCTCTGCTTCATAGGAATGTGGCAACGATGTCAAAATTTGTCACGCAAGCACCTCACATATTACCCTCTTTCCCCCGCGCGATATGGTACCCGCTACTTGTATACTCACCCCCCTCGGAGAACAGGCGCGTGTACCCGGCTCTCATGGAGGCGACCATGGCGGAGCCCCTCAACGCCACCGACGTCGCCCCGTCCATCACGAGCATCCGGGAGCTTATCGGCGTCCGGCCTAACCCTCGCCTATAGCGCACCTCGACTGCAAGTAGAGCGTGTTTTGCGTTTCGCGAAGCAAGTCTCGCCTGTAGGGCGCCTCGACCGCGAGTGTGTTTTGCGTTTCGAGAAGCATGTGCGAAGTGTCTCAGGGGTCGGCCGCTCCTGATATTTTCTTGTTGGTGTTGGATAGAACTAAAAATGGGCCTGTGTTTCGTCTCGCTTTCAAGACACTATTCCGCTCTTGTGCCCTTCCTTGCCTCTCTGCCCGTTCTCCTTTCTGCTTGATATTTTCCCCTGCAGACCCGAGTCATCCGTGCAGCCTATGTGCCACTGCTTTGTGCGGTTCGCCATGTCTTGTCCTTCGCACCCGGCGTAAGGGGTTAGAATAGGCAAGCCGGTGGGGTGGAGAGAGGGTGCTTGATGATGGTGTAGGGCTTGGGGCCCTGTTGTCGTTGCAGTCTTTTGTTTGGTCGTGCTCTTCCGCTCTGGGAATCGGTTTGTTCCCGGGATATCTCGTGCCGGGTATCACAACCAATCAATCCGATGTCCCCGCACGGACAATTCATCGATTAGGTGCAGCAGGATTTGTAGTGTGTCATCTTGGCGGCGTTACGAACACCGACCCGATACAGGCACGCAAAGAACGGGGAAGAAATTAATTTATTTGTGGAATGTCCTGACACCTTTGAAGTGCGTTACTTGTCTGTCACTCTCTGGAGGAAACTTCCTTGCAAGCACTCATCGTTTCCTTGAGCAGCTAACCTCAGAGTTGGGCCGTCTCTACGTTGTCCTCGACTATCAATGCACACCCAGCGGTGGTGATGACAGGGGTTTTGTCCCGTGGCTCATGCGGTTTGGGGGCGTATGGCGACGGCGGGTTGGATCAGAGGGAAAGTGGAGGCTGACGGTCGCGTGGAAATACCGCGCGCAGTGTGCATGAACACACGTATCGGCTAGGGTAACATGAAGCCTGAGTGTATCGGCGGCTGCTCTCGCTCTCTTCTAGCGTTTCAGTACCCCACGCGCGGCGATTACACGTGCGCTGAATGTGTCTGGCATCGGGCATACCGCGCACCCGGATCATCAACTCATCCCCAACCTCTGCCCTCAGGCCGACGATGGAACCGGTCATGTATGCATACAAGATCTTGAATGTCTCGCTCGCACAACCTACAGGCCCAAAGAACGTCGCGTCGACGATGCTCCGCGGTCGCGACGATGGGTGAATACGCGTCTCACTGATTTTTTTCGCCACTCCGTTTTGTTGCACGAGGGGGGGGGTAGCACCCCAGCAAGGTTCCGCAATGTTGCTACCCCCGCTCCGACGCCCATCTCTCTGAAGGAAGGGGGGATGGAACGGCCTTTGTTCTGTTGCCGGCGACTCCCTACCCGAACAAAGAAGAAAAGTATTACCACGTACGTGATATGCGATGCGGGCTACCCACACACCCCAAGACGGTCGAGCGTGCATCGAAGCTGTCTTCCGTCATGCGCTCTTGCTCACTCACCGCCTGCCGCGCAAAGGTTTGGTATCGTCATATGTAGCGTTCGGAGATAACTACGGCCCCTCGTCTTGCTCGGATATTTTATTCTTGGTGGCGAATATTTTGATGCTTGGATTCGTTGTCGCTGTTACCTGCACACGTGACAATTGGACCAAGCAATTTCGTGAAAAACAAACACAGCCTTAAGTGAGCAGTGCTTCGGGCGGGGAGGAGCGTGTGGCCGGACAACTCGGAGTCAGCTCCCTCTCCGATGAACCTTCATCGTTCTGCCGCGTTGCCCCGAATGACAATCCGAGTTCGCCCCCGAGGACCAGGCGCAAGCGGCGCGTGCGGGGAGGTGCCGGGCATCGACGGCAACGACATTCCAGATATCAAGAGGGAGAAGACGCACGCTGCGCCGGAGCCCCCTCGGCATCCACAAGCAGCGCGCCACGAGACACCGGCGGTGAGAACTGAAGGGCGAAAGCGCTATTTCAACAAGCAGGATATACCTCGTTGTCTCGCGGTCCAACTAAATGGTTCGATGGTTTTGGGAACGACGCCCCGCCGACCCTGCTGACAACTAATTCAGAGGATTTAATCGCTCAAGGAACGACGCCCCGGCCACCCTTCACTGAAAATTGTTTTGGAAGAGGTGCAAAGACTACGCACACGGCAGCAGCGTCAACAAAGCCGCCCGAGAGACGTGCATCGCTACAACGTGAGACCAACCCTGCGGAAGGCCGAGCGTAACGTACGGCCTTGCACCGATCTTTGGGGTGTGGTCTATATCCTCTCCTCGGTCACAACGCACACACACGCGCACCCACCCCTCGTCGACGCGTGTCTTAGCAGGTGCCAGTAGAGAGAGGTGTTCATGGATCTGAGAACAACCTACATAGACTACAAGCATGGTTACGACCACACGCCACCATACGATGCCGTCACACCTAGGAGTTACGAAACAAACATCAACGGAAGCAACAACACCATAGCAACAGGAATTTGTTGCGTCAGCGGTGTCAGAGCATGCTTGTCGCCTCTGTCTTTGCGGGATCGAGAAGGGCAGGTAGATCCCGAACCGACCGAACCTCTTCCGATGCCGCCTGGGGAAATGCGAAAGGAAGCATGGTGGTTCGGAACGTGTGAGAGGTGGGTGTGAACAAAGACGGCCCCACTGTAATCGCGTGGTATGCATATGGAACGAGCGTCCTCTTTGTGTAGTATCGTCACCGAACATTCGGGCATCACGGCTTGCCTACCCGGTCATTTCAGAACCTACTGCGCTGCAGTAGAGTATTCCTCTCGAATGGACGTTCCCAAGGCCGCGCAACGTCCGAGGTTGCTCACACGAGGCTCAGTCGACTACTACATTCATTCCTGTTGAGACTGGGAGATGCAGCCCGATTACTCTTGTCGCCTTCCACACAAGCCACCTTGGCTGCAATCTTTCTTCATTTTTCGGGATTTTTGTGGAGAGGTTGCCCCCACCTCTTCCGGCGACTCTCGTCGGAAAACCATGTGGGCGCTGTCCAGCATTTCCCTGAGGAGCTCCTGCGCACACGAGCAAAAGAGCGTGGCGGTGGCAAACACGGAAAATATCGACGGGCGGCGACGAGGAGAGCGTTTTTCTACTCTTGACCCTGACTTGAAAGTCATACTGAAACCAGCATGTCTGTGGAAAATACGCACGCACTCCTGCTTTTCCTCCTGCACCCAGGCCTGCCTATGCAAGTCATATTGAAACCAGCATGTCTGTGGGAAATACGCACGCACTCCTGCTTTTCCTCCTGCACGCAGGCCTGCCTATGCTTTCTCGAGGAACCGAGACTGCGACGTCTTGGTGCTTCCTCTCATTACGACGTGCCCGCGCCACAGCCCACCATAGTAACCAACGGGCTTGCTCACCTGCTCCTTGCGCTCTTTGTCTCTGGTCTCGAGCCGCCTGGACAGGTCCTCCACCTCGTTCTTGACCGCGTCCACCTTGCAGCGCACACAACGATACATTCACGACGTTCTTAAGGCAATATGAGACTCTGCACACAGCCAAAGAAAGACTACCCGTTCGAGATATAACTAATTACAGTCGAAGGGGATGGGTTGGAATCTTCACAGTGAAAGCTTTGCGATGCGTACAAAGCGTCGGGAAAAACAATTCGTTGTTTCAACTCACCTAAAGTCACAGCAAGTCCACGACCGACTCTATATAAGTTCTAATAATAGAGTAGATCGTATGCGTTTTGGTCGTGCCGGAGCGACAGCATTCATTCCAGGTCCGACACGTATGATCGTTTTACGTTTCGCGTCCACATTCTCCTACACGCACCACCCAGATCACGACGCAACTGAAGGCCTGACCTGCTCCTGCAGCTGGCGTTTTCGAGAGTCCGCTTCGTCAACGAGAAGCTGGAGCCTGCGGCGTGGAGAGAACGCGAAGCGACGAACCCGCGGCACGAAAACAGACTAGTGGAACGCGGCAAGAATTACACTTTCTGGAAAAAATAATCGACACACGTGAGGTTTCTTGTTTTGTTCCCGGTCATTTGGTCCCCATTCTTCTGTCCCCGTCGTAGAGGTATGTGCTATGTTGCCGGTATTCGGCAGGCAAGGCATCTACCATGAAGGACAGGAATCGGGGCGAGATGTTCGTGGGATCTTTGATCATCGATTCGGGTGCGCACGAAGGGACATCTGGTAGCAGTAGCAGCGCTCACAGACGATGCGATAGGCGCAAAGACTACAAGGTAATGCCTGTTGCCTGATTGCAGCATTCGTTCCGACGGGCACGACTCCGCATCCTAGGCCCAAGGCAAGTGCTACCGAAATGTCGATGCAATGCAAAACAGTAGGTGCCAAAGCACCGAACTCACTCGGCATTCTGGGCATCGATTTCGACCCTCCTCGCCATGGACACATCAATTTGGTCGTCCAGTGTCTCCATCTCCGCCGTGGCGCGAGTGTGTCGCTCCTGTCCATCACCAAGGGGGAAACGAAATGACGTCAATGTCTTCGGTTTTTGTGCGTCAGCGGGTGGTCGTTGGGTACTTACTTCGACATTATTCTCTCCTTACTGTCGTCGTTTTTTCTAGCTTTGGTGGGGGGTGCTCGTGTTCCCGCGTGGATAACAGCGCCCGACGGCTCCTCACGACAGGGCGATGGCTGCAGGCGCTCTGCCGACGAGTGCTATCGGTCCATCTTATCACATGGTCCTTGCCTAGACACAGAAAGGTGTGGCTACTTACGTTCAGGGAGTCAATCTCAAACGTCAACCGCTCCAGCCCTTCCTGCTCCTCCTCGATCTGCGGTCCCCACCACAACCAAAACACGAAGGAATAGTCAGCGGGGAAACATCAAGGAGACTCTTAAGCGTGCCAGCGGACGAGGAAAGACGCGAAACACCTGGAGCGAACTCCGCACCCCCGTGCTTTCAGGTCCCACCGCCCAAGCCTCAAGGATGATCTCGGTGACGAGGAGGTGCCACCGGGGATAAAAAAAACGAAGTGGAGCGACGCGGCAAGACGCCGAGGAAGTAGAAAAATAGAAAAGGCACGGCAGAAACGAAACCGCCAGATGATGCAATAGAAAAGGCACGGCAGAAATGAAACCGCTAGATGATGCGTACAATCGACCTTCGGTCCAAGACGCACGTACCAATTCCTGCAGCTTCTTGATCTTCTCCTCTCGCACGATGCAATCCGGGTGGTCGCACTCCAGGTATCCCTTTTCTCTGTACGCGCAAAACAGGTCGGCGAAGAACGTCAACGCACACCGTTCGGACACAACAACGGCCAGCGGCCACGTGAACGTCCAAAGAACAGGATCGTCTGGAAGGGCGTTGGCGCACGGGGCAACTGGTCACGGTACAACGTGTTGGCCGAAGTCTTCTTCTGGGCTAGTCCAGATGGCGATGAGTTGGGCGGGAGCACATGAGCAAGCGTCGTTCCGCACGCCCAACAACAAAAAGAAGCGAATCTACTGAGAGCGCACGATGCCAAAAAAACCAAAACAACGCCGCCTTTACCTGGTTTTGTCGCCCCTCCGATTAGCCTGTCGCAGCCCACCACAGGAGCCGATTGAATCGGTGGCGTTGGTTACCGTAGATTCGCATACATGTGATAGGAAAGTGCGGTGGAAGAGAGGGTGGAATGGTAAGTTGAAGCGACCAAAAAACGTCAAGATATGCACCGTTAGTGCAGGTTTAGCATGTACCTCTGGAGAGAATGCTCCCATAAAGACAGACAAGTCCACAGCCATCGTTTTGACGCGCGTGGCATGATTCGTCCTGCAGTATGCCCAGCTTCGCTGTGTCGGTACTACAGCGTGAAAGGAGGAGAGGCTTGCTTGAGATGCTACCCCGTTGCTCGTCCCTCTCATGTTCTCGAGCCCTTTGCTATATCGTTCCTCTCCCATTTAGGACGCAAATAGTTCGTTCGACTTGTGTCTTGCAGACCTTAAAACCGTTGCTAACTCTCACAATTTATCAACACTTCCTACAAAAG